CTATCCGCTAACCGCCACCCACTACCCGCTACCGCTATCTGCTATCCGCTACCTGCTATCCGCTATTTGTTAAATTTTAACCGCTGTACCAAACAAGCCCTGCGTAGATGTTTGTAAATATTGACAGTTAATGATCGGTTGGTTGGGTCTTTAGAGCCAAATACATTTAAAGAAAATTATGAGATTGCAGCATAATTTTTTATGAAAATACATATGATCCATTTATAGAAAAATATAAAGATGCAACAGTTATTGTTATAACCCAATTTTGACTATTAAGAATTTTAATGAGATCTTTCCCAGTGTTTAATGGATTCAATTTTCCCTGAAATCTTGAGCATAATTGGGATTAATCAGAAAAAATTAATTTGAATTTATTGAAAATTTATTAAAACCTTGGGATCTTGAATTGCAGGGACTCAATTTATGAAGGGAAATGATTTTGGGGCTACAAAAGATCAGGATTTTTACGGATTTGTTTTGGGGATCGAGTTTGAACTTTGAATTAGGGTTGTACATTTGAGATTTACATACAGACTCTAGGGGTTTGGGAGAACAAAGTATGGGACTACACCAGATAGAAGGAGATGAGAGAAGAATCAGAGCGCTTAGGTCTGGGAGATTTCCTTGAAATAAATGTATATTGATGATCGCACAAGACATTTTTAGTAGTCCCTCCTTTCCTATAATTGTATATATAATCATTCGATTAATAAACTTGTATATTTTAGTATATATTTAATGATGATAAATTTTTATAATCAATGAACTAATTATATATATTTAATCAATTTCAAAATTGATATGTTTAATTTACATAATTAAAAAACTAAAGTTTTATTTATTATAGTTATGGTTTTGAATTTTAAAATTTTGGTTTTTAAAAATTTAGAAACTCAAAAATAAAATTAATAATTTGTATAAATTAATTAAGTTTAGAGTCTTGGGCATTTGTTTTAAAATTTTATACCAAATATGTTAGCAATTTAATTTTTAATTTTGGTTTCTAATTTTTAATTTTGATTATTGGAATTTTGAGAACCAAAAAAAAAAAAACAAAAAACCATAACCATACTAAATGAATTAAATCTAATGATTGGTTTTTAAAAATATATTCATTGGAGAGTAGTATTTTTAAAGTTGAGCCAACGACCTAAATAGTTTAGTGATAATCTTTTTCCGTTAGAAATAAGAGGTTCTAAATTCAAATCGCATATTATACGGGTGGGGTAGGATAAGTGATCGGAGATGATTGCCTTCGTTGTGCAATCAACAAAAAAAAAAAAAAAAGTTGAGACTCTAGTTTTTTATAGAAGTCAGAACTACTAGTGAGCACTATATATTCTCTTATCATTATTATTATTATTATTATTATTATTATTATTATTAATTAGGAAATTGATTATGAGAGTTTTCTATGGTTACCAATAAATTTATAAAATAGAAATAAATTTCAAATTTTAGTTTTAAAATTGTTATCTTAAAAAAAATTGAAAATTCTACATTTAAGAACCAAATATATATATTCCAAGTTTTTCCTATTTAAAAAATATGAATTTTCAAGTTGACTTGCATTAAAAAAAAGCAAAAAAAAAAAAACTTAAATAACATTAATAAATCAAGATGTATAATTGATTTATTAAATATATTTAAATAATTTTATAAACATTCATACATTTTTTTCCTTGCAATCAATTTGAAAGAGAGTTCTAAAGAAAAAAATGCTACTATTTTTTTTGAAAAAAAAAAGTCTTCTTCTCCTCTTTCCATTACGGATGGCAATTCTCCCCAATTCTGACCAGCTTTGTAGGGACTCTTGCCACAAGAGCAAAGTGAGGGGAAATATTCCTTTTCATGGGGAACGAAAAGTACTTTTTTTGATGAAATTTCCTAAGAAATTTTCCTTACCAGGCAAGGACCTCGTTTGTCTGGAAATAATTAAAATTAATAATAAATTATTAAATTTAACCAAATTTGAGTATTTAATTTATAATTATAAATTATATACATTATTCAAACTTAATCTTAACCCAATACAAAAGTACAATTACTTTAATCAGACTCAACCAACACTTTTTTAAACTTTAACATAATTTTTTAAAACATTTTTAAAAAAATAATATGATAAAAATAATTAAATTAAATTTTTAATACATTGATCTAGGGTGGGAAATCCTGTAGAGACAGATCCCCTGTGAGTAACAAAAGGTTAAAACTTATTTTTAGTCTTTTACCTTAATAAATTTATAGATTTTAACTACTCACCTTATATTATGACATTTTAACCCCTCATCTATACGAATTGAAGAAAATAACCCTATTTAAGGTCAAGTTATAACGTTTTATTAATTCTGTTAGTTAATTGTTAACTCTGTTAGTTAACTATTACTTTTCTATTAGTATTCTGTTAATAGAACTAATAAATAAAATTGAATTTAAATTTTATGTTTTTTATAACGGAATGCTGAATAATATTAACAGTCAGTTAACAAAACTAACAAAATGTTATAATTTGATATTAAATAAGGGTTATTTTTTTTAATTCGTATAAATGAATGACTAAAAATGTCATAATATAAGATAAGAGATTAAAACCTATAACTTTATTAAAGTAAAAAATTAAAAATATCATATTATAAAATAAAAATCAAAACCTACAATTTATTAAAATAAAAAATTAAAAGTAGATATTGCCACGAAAAAGACGGGGCAAATTCTAACTTTGTAAAGGGAATGGAGAGTCACTCTCCAACCGCGCAGGGGCGCCATTACTTCCTTCCGCCTAGCACGCGACTCACAAGTCCGGCAAGTGGAAGTGACGAACGTGCGTGCACTAACAGCGATGTTTCCACACACTCAATCTTTCTATAAACTGAACCTTATAATCATTCAGATTGAATCGCCGACAATACATCAACAAATAAATGGTTTAATTTTATTGCTAACGAATCTCTTTTTTATTATTATTATTAATTTTTTAATAACCAAAAATTTACATTAAAAATCAAAATGCATTAAACCTAAAAAAAAAAAAAAAAAAATCTTCCTTAACATTTGTTTTTTTATCTATAAAACTCAAATTCAATATATTATTTGAATAAAATCAAGTCGTTCCACTCAAAACTAAGTGTACAGTAGGTACGAGTATTTTCATTTTAACTAACCATGGTTGAACGCTTACTCTCTCTGTCTTTCCCCCATTTGCATTGCATCCCTCCCTTCACTCCCTCCATTCCACTCAACAATTTTCCTTCTCTTTCTTTTCCTTTCAAGAATTTTCTCTTCAAAAGCAACCTTTTTATTTTCACTTAACATTTTTTTTCTTTCCTTGTGATTGAGCCGAAACTACTCTCGAAGATCTCACCGCAATCTCCGCCATTGTCTCCGTTTCCGGGAAAATTTCGAAGCAGTTACAGGATCCGTGTTCTCAGTTCTGGTTTCGTTCTTGAATTCTAGCTTTTGGCTCTGAAATTGCAATCTTGCAAAAGAGGAATATAATCACCTTCTTCATTAATGTTCTTGCTTCTCTAAGCCTATGTGGTGAGTTCACTTTTTTTTTCCTTTGTTTCGGTGTTTGGTTGCTGAGAAAGTGAAGGAAAGGAGAAATAGAAATTCAAATTTCTAGTTTTTCGTTGTTATTCATACTAACAAAGAAAACATGCATGGTCCTCAATTTTTTTTTTATCGTTCCTTACGTTTTCGTAGCGAAGTAATTTAATTCGTAATTCCTCCTTGAGATCCATTTTTCCTTTTTTTTTTTTTTTTTAGAATTATTAAGTTTGATTATGAGAAGAAATAACACTGTATGTTTTTGTCAATGCAGAGTTTGGATGAATTATGAGATTCAATGGTTCTTGAAATGGACAGCTCAGGGACATAGATTTCATAGTTTCTTTGCTTTCAAGAAATCCAACTCTTTGCACTAGTTTGATTTATATCTAATTGGCTATCTAATTGTTAAATTAAAGTGGTGGATACCATGACAACCCATTTAGCCTCTGTTGTGTGGAAACTGCAAACATTATCCACTTCTGACCATGCCTCTGTGGTCTCTATGAATCTGTTTGCGGCCCCTCTTTGTGCTTGTATCGTCGTTGGTCATTTGCTGCAGGAGAATCGATGGATGAATGAGTTAATCGCTGCCCTTCTCATTGTGAGCCTTTTTTTTTTTTAATCTTTTGATGGCTATTTTGTTGTTGGGGATAAAAATATATGGATGTTGTTGTTACAGAAAACCTCTAAGATCTTCCTTTTGTGTATCTTCTCTCTAGGCAAACCTGCAAAATCCCGAGGTTGGTCCTTAGGGAGAAAATCCGATGCTTAAGTTAGTATTTTTCTAGAGAGTGTTCTCTTTATGATTATTTCATCTATATAACGTACCTTTCCTCATGGGTTTTGTACATCTAGGCAAGGTATCCATGTGACCTACCTGGCCTACTTAACATGATAATCATGATATGATGTGCCAGACGGAGCAGACATATTAGGTGAACATAACGTCCCTTAACGGAGCAATTACATTAAATGCACGTGGCATGTTCTGACAAAGCAGGTCAAAGATCAGGTAAGGACAAATAATTGGGTAAGGGTGTTCTCATTGCAACTGTCGTGCACCTGTGGTAGAGAATCGAGGTGCGGTAGAGCGTTGAGCTCTGCCTTGCATATTTATACCCTTAC